CTTTACACGCTTGTCAAATGTGGACCTATAATATCTACTGCAGGGCATCGATCCTATTATACGAAAAGCTGACACAAATTATAGACCAGCAATATTGTCCGACATATTGCGCTGTGAATCGAGCGACACAGCGTACAGACAGGAGGAGAATTTGTTTCTGTTGTCACGTGTTGCCGCGTGTTTCCTATTTTTCTTTGATCTATACCGCTTCGAATGGAAACAGGAAACAAGCGGCGACATTTTCAATATCATGGAACATCGACAAAAAGTTCCTCGTTGTTGCTTCAGCGAAGACGTAGCTTTAGAACCAAGCAAGCTAAATTAATCGTTCGCATTTTTACAAAAAATCGTATATTGTTTCTAGGTAAAGGACAACCTTATTTTGCAAAAAATATTATAAATATAAGCACCGTGACAGTGAAATATCATTTACAAGAATAGGACATTGGATATCGTAATTCAAAAGCAAAAACTCCCCAGAATTTATTGGTAGAAGCTTACAAAAATGACGGTCATGTTTGGAACAGTACGATGTTTAGAAAATTTAAAAAGCATTTGTGCTATAAAACAAAAGCTACGAGAAGAAGCTATTTCTGTGATTTGGAACATTGATACATTATATTCATGAAATACGAAGGTATAATACCTGTTTCATACGCAAAAAAAAATTAGTCAAAAGCATGCCAAAATATTTTCAAGCAATAATCAAAAATATTAGATCGTTGCACATGATGTTTAACCGTTTGAGTGCCACGGGTTATTGCAGAAATCTGACCGAAAAGTGCCAAGACCACGCTTCTTTCGTTCGATGTCGAAAAATTCCAAAAATTGTGTTTTGGACATTTTCACTGAATACGACTGTTTGGAAATAACACGAAACAAAGGCAAAATTAATTATGTGCAGGACTTTTGGTCAATTTTTTATAAAAAAAATAGTCAGATTATAAGAAATGGAATCAAATTTACACTTCGTGGCCCGATGCGGTGGCACTTTTCTCTGTAAAATACGACGAGCGCGACCACGCTCCTAATAACAGTGCAATTAAAAATTAATAATCTCTTAATACATTTAGCGTTTTGCCTCCCTGAGAAGGGCTTACAGAGTACCCTGGAGTCAATCCTATACCTCTATTAAGCAATTCTTCTACTCTCCATCGAAACCACCAACCGCTAGAACCAACCCGGAGAATCAGCAAGGACGTCCATCCCAGACTTGAACCCCAAATTGGCGGTAAGGATTTTTTCTCTTGGGTTTCGATTTCTAGGCGTTAGTAATGGTAATACTAACGTCTGTACGAAATTTCAGCCCGAAATCTGTTAATACAGGAACTATCGTGCTCTAAATATCGGCTAACCAGTGACGAGTTAACTCGTCTTCCCCAGGTTAAAGCTCGAGCACAGTCCGCTCTCGCGTGAATTCATAAAAAATCATGAACGAGATCTGTCCTTGGGTACAGTGGTCGGGGGAGAAAATTGTAATTAAACGGAATCACACCGACTTCCCTGGTAGCGGCGGAATAAAAAGAAGGAGGCTAGAAAGTCAGCGTACGGAGGCCATACCGAATAAAGTGCTACGCCTTGACTTCTAACCGTGGCGTTTTTTTTTCATCGGTTCCGAAGCGAGTCCAGTCACCGTATATACACGAAGGTGCATCAAAGTCTGCGAGTGGAATCGCCATATTCAGCCCGTTACACCTCGGAACCCGTCGCGTTATCGATGGTAGTAAAATTCACCGGTACGCCTATGCGGCGCTTCTATAACAAAAGTTTCCAGCCCAGGCTGTGCATATATGGCACGGAGCAACTACCGTGAATATCCACGCACACACGCTTCTCGCGCACGTGGAATTAATGCACCCTGCGCATTATTAATTAACACGCCGCCACCTATCCGTGACGCGGTTGAATCTCGCGTCGAACCAACTAAATAAGTACATTATTCTTTCTAACCTCCTGTTATTCACATTTACGTTTCCCCATTGCGTTCCTAATGGTCCTCTCGATACACACCTATCCACCATGATCAATAGTTAACACGGCTAATTACGAGTGAATTAAGGAGAATTCTTGGCTGCAAGTTCTGATAGTCGGTTCTCATTTTATACGGTGTAGGATACGTTGGATGATTTTCCTTACACGGTGTGTATAATTGGACGAGGTCGTTTTTATTATTCGGTTTAACGCGAAAAAAAATATATAACTGTTCTATGTTTCGGACGTTGAAGTGGAGAATACGAAATCGCGTAAAGCGTGTGCAATTATGTTAATAAATCTCCGTTTTGGTTCTCAGATTTTCCTTTCTTCCTATCCACTTGTTGCTTCGATTATGAACGGAAGAAAAGAAAGTTGTTTGATAGATATTATTGTGTTTTTAATGTCGGTATGTCTTTGAGTAAGACACGTTAATGTTGCTGGATATTTACTTAGAGTTTGATGACATGCGTTAATTGAAACTTGTTAAATTCGAAGATTCGCAAAAAATTATACGAAGTATTGCTTTTCGAAGTACAGTAAATTCTCTACAAGTGTCAGTCGGTTTGGATTCTACAAGTGTCAGTATAGATGGTCCTACGCCTAGGCTGCGTCATTGCTGCGCCTATGTTATCTCGCTCGCTGTCAGTCAAGCGTGTAACGTTATACCACTCGGTTTCTTTTACGAGATTTCACTGCTTGACAAATCATAATAGAAAAATATAATTTCTTTAATTTTACTATTTTTCATCTGAAAATTTTGTTAACATGGTGAGATTTTTCTGATGAAAATGATATCAAACACGATATAATTTGAACAACATTTACTTATTAATACTTATTAAGTAATTAATTTAATGTTGATCTACCTCCACATAAAAAAAAAAAAATTGTAGGGCCAATTCTACAAGTGTCAGTCAAATGTAGGGCCGATTCTACAAGTGTCAGTCAAACGGCAGGCCAATTCTCCAACTGGCAGTCAAACGGTAGGCCGACTCTATGTAATGTAATACAGGGCGTCTGTTTTATCTCAATACAGTGAAATATCTGGCGTGACAGTGAACGTGTTAATAAGTAAATGTTGTTACCTCGACTCACGTTACATCCTTATCTTTTATTCGCTGTCCATGTCTACGTTCGGCAAACTACAAAGGCGGGCGCGAGGCTCGAAAACATAGTCCCTGACTCTACAAGTGTCAGGTTTAGGTTCCTTGCGGACTGACACTTGTGGAGAATTTACTGTACTTCTGGTCTAAATGTTACATGATATAGATAAATCTAAAATTCGACTATTTTAGTAATTATGTTACGAAAGAACTGAGTTTCTCTCCTATTTTGAACTATGGAATTTGTTTTAACGTACAAATCGAATGCAATTTCAGAAGCATTGCTTGTAGACTGTTTAAAATTTTAACTTTAGGAATTCTTTAAATAAATTAAATGGAGGATTTGATTGAAAAATTCTAAAATCGTGTTTCCTCTTCATATAAAAAATTAACAGTTAGCTCCTCTGGGAAGATAATAAAGTTGATAGTAGATACTTATGTATGTGTAAATGAATATCATTCTACGTTAAGTAAGATGAAAAAATGTAAACTTATGGCTTGCAATTTTATAAAAAATGAAAGTTACAAAACTCATGCCTCGTGATTATTTAAAGCTGTAGAAAAAATGTTTGTATTGCACGCAGCAACTATCGTAAAAATGCACGTAAACACCCTTTTCACACACGTGAAATTAATGCACCCTGTGTATTAAAACTTTAAGCTAGTATAGATACAACATGAAATGCAATTAACTAATTGTAAGTGCAAGATATTTAAAAATTATACTTTTACTGAAAAATTGGTCTTCAATTACCTTCAAAATGAAAATGAGAATATTTCTAACGTGACAATGATTTCAAAGAATATAAAGTTCAATGATTCTCAGCAAGCATAGGCTTGATAACGTCCTCAATTTCGTCAACTTGCCACCATAAGCGATAGAACCAAATAAAGCAGATTCAGATTTGTCTTATTAGTGTCTAGCAAGTTGCAAAAACAGAGAAAATTCCAAGGCAATGTTTTAAAATTGAAATGTAATAGAACTGGATATGAATGGTAACTACTACTTCCACTAATGACAAATAAGTTGATTACAGTGCCGAGTTAGATTGATTTCGTAAGACACCTAATGCTACTGCTTTCACAGTTCTTTGACATTATTTCTTAGCACTTTTAATATTCGATATTCAAATAATAATTATATTGTAATACTTCGTCACAACAAACATACTATACAAGGTGTTTCTTGCAAAACAGGCCACCTAACTATCTTCTCTATCTATGGTAACACGAGAAATATTTCTTACATAATTTATATTCAAAAGAAGAATCAGGCGGAAGAAAAGATTTCTTAGAAATGTCATTTTTAATGTTTCTTTCAAAGTCATCCATATTTTTTTCTGTTATGTATTATAGCTAACATTACTGTGCATTCATCCATGTATAATAGTATGACCTTGAAATGATCCTGAACTTGAAAATTTTAAATCAAGTGTGAAATTTCCTTTCATTTTTGGCCATTTATTCCATTAAATAAATTTTTCTTTCATTTTATTCACCCTTTGAAACCATTTACCCCTTTGCACTCCAATGGCGCTTTTATGGCGACACGCGTAATTACTTTGGAGAAATGTACAATTCAGACTTCTTTTATATTATTCTATATTATCGAAATCATGCAAATTAACCCAAGAAATACAAATAAATAAATTCGTAAACATTAAAAATCCTTTTTTTTTTCAAGACAAAACTTTGGCTTTCCAGAAGTTTCACTATTAATCTTATCAAAAAATGCTCAGAGTGCAAAGATAGAGTGCATTATCACAGATAGAGAAGAGCTTTATTAAAAAAGTTATCTTTCTCCTTCTATTTTTCTGCATTCCTATTACGTTTAAAATATTCATATTCACTATAGACGACGAATATTTCACACTGCGCAGTCTGTTAATCTGCTGGGTAACATTGATCACAAGATAGACTTACCGGAAATTTGCTGCTGTGAGTCTGCAAGTTAGCCGACTGTTGAGTCTGACTCGAGCTCTGTTCATCCCCATAGAGCGGTGGCATCCTGTATTCCGGTGCAAGGTTATGCCCGGAACTTCGAAGCTGGCAATCGTCTAACGTGTTACTGGCGTTCCTCTCTATGCCGGAAGTCGTCCGTGACGATTGTTCGGCTACCGTCTGCACCCTGCTCTCCTGCTGGCCGTTCTGGTTCTTCTGATTGTTCGGCACCGGTTTCGGTGGTGGTACAGGCTTGTAAAGTCCCTCCTCATCTGGAATACATATTTCGTTCGCGATTATTCTCAACCAGCAGCGATACCTAAATTATCGATCAGCTCGACTGTAAGTAGTTTCTAATTGCTTCTTCAACTTAATTCGAATACTTTCGTTTCATAAATTTGTAATACTTTGGAAAAAATATTTCGTTCTCTTACTACATTGGTAATGGTTATTTAGTTTCATTCTCAGCAAGATTTGAGATAATTAGTTTGTATTGTAATTAATGTTTAGGAACTTGTGCAGAAGTAATGTTTAACTTTTGAAAGATTGTTTGCAAGTGTATTGAATTTCTGGTGTCGGTATTTGTCACTTGGCTTAATTAATTCGAGCGTACGGGGTCATGTGTTATTACAGAAGTGTGTATTAATGTAGAAACAGGATACTCTATCGTTTACTATTGAACACAAGGAGCGTTAAAGTGTCACAGTGAATTCCTAATGAGGAAATATTCGCCAAGCAAATTAGTCATTATGCGGTTCGTCCATCACGTATAAAGGTACATTTGGTTCGAGCGAAATTAGTTTAGGTTAACTTGTTGAGTCAAGTGCATTAGATCATCTTCTAGCAAAATAATTGGCATTACTGCAATATGATTAATTTATATTTTATTAGCTCAAATTTCTGTGCAAACTGCTTCAACAAAAGTTGCAAAATGGAAAGAATATGCAATTTAATTGAAAGTTACGATAACGTTGTGTAAATTCGTACTGTGATTCGTAGCAAATAAATATTCAGTTACAAAAGAATATATAGTTTCTTTCAAATTAAATTTTTACTTATTGTCATAGGCTTTTCGTTTACTAATACAAAAAAATTTCTTACTTTTTCGACTTTCTTTCGTTTTGATCATTTAATGCATTTCGAAATCGTTAGACTAATCTCCTTTAAATGTAATCACCAGAAATGAAAATTAGATTTGATTCTACATTCAGGTCTTACTTGCTGAAACTGCTACACTCCAAAATTTTTAGAAAAAGTTTAATTAAAATTTTAGAAAAGTTTTAATTTTCTGAATATTATTCGAACGTAGTACAATAATTAATAACTGAAATAGAACAATATTTACAAATATTAAGTTTAAAATAAATTAAAATTTATAAATGTATAAGGTGTAACATTATGCATTTAGAATCTGTCTTGGTGTTTACATTGTAATACATACATAATATTGTAACTTGTAAAAAAATTCATTGTATTCTTATAAGTTCATAAAATGGATAATGGTAGCCTATAAAACAAATTTTGGAAAACCTTATCATTAATTTTGCATCTACATCAAATTCATTTTTGAACTTGTAATGAATGCTGAATATAAATACAGGTGTAGGTTCCAATCACATATACACTACCGGCCAAAAGTTTCGAATCACCTCCCACTTTTCATCAATATTAAATCTGCTGCTAATTTTTTATAGATTTGAAGTTTATCTCAATTCTACTTTTATCAATTTGTCTCATATCAATTGATTCGAATGAGAAAAAATTCTCAAAGTCGCTGACCTTTTTCTCGAAATTTTTGTGTAAACTGCAATGCTCAGTAATTCCAAACTTTTGGCCGGTAGTGTATTACAAATTCAGTTGTTTTAAATCATTGCTGTACTTCAGTTCCATCTGTTATTTTTTTTAGAGCAAAATATGTCTGTTTTTATTTTCGAGAAAACTTGTATTAATTGATTTAGTTTGTGAGTATAGTTATTGTTAATCAAATGGATTCTAACTTATGCAGTTCCTCGTTTCGTTCAGTTGCTGTTTAGCCTTAATTAAACACTCTACGTTCAATTTGCTAGACGCATTGGTATTCTTTAATGAGGTAGTACAATTAAACTTATAATTAATCTATTATATATACAGCCAAAAGTTTTGACCACTGTGCGTTTCACGGTAGACAAGAATTCTGCAGGAAGAAGTAAACAATTTTAAGAAACGTTTAAAAAATTGTTCGTTACTCTGATCTACCGAAAGGAAGCGAATTTCTATCGAATTAATTCCAAATACATAAAAATTTTGTCGCAGATTCGATATTCACGACAGTTGACAAGTGTTTCCAAACTTTTTGCTGGTAGAATATGTCAAAGCAGGAACAGATACAAATTTTGAAATGTTCAAGTATAAAGATACAATTATTGATAATACAAAATTAAAACGAAAATTGTAAACACTTCGTAAACAGGTTGTTTATTAGAATCGAAGTATGTTGAAGTGGACTGAAGTATAACAACAATTACAAAGAACAAACCCTTGCAAATAATTTGATTCTAGTTTCTTTTCAAAGATATAATCAATTCTATCTGTGAACGTTGTGTTTCAGAAAGTACAATTTACCTTTCCCCAGAATTAAGTGAAATTTAATGCCAGAGTTATTCGAACGCCTTAACCTGTCATGCAGCGTGTCACGGCGATTGAGTTGAAACAGAATCGCTATCAAAGGTACAATTCACGCAGGCTAAGCTTGTTCAACGCCCGTTAAGAGTGTTCGATATGTTCTACTTTTCTATTTCTGTGTACCTTGGTTCTGATTTTGTCGCCTCAAACGATTCTCCTGCTTGACTTTGCGAACCGTGGTGGCCATTGCGTGTTGGCTAACCATGTCTGAAGAATGCTCTCCGAAGAATCCACCGAAACCCTCTTCTTTTACCCTTTACAACACCTCACTAATCTCTTGTACATCGAACAGTTTGTTATCACCTAGTCACAGTTTCATCGAAGAACGTTCTTCTCAATGCTCGATGCGTTTTAATCTAGAAACACGCGCGACATCCAAGTGAAAGTCCTTTTTAATCTTGTCTCGTTAAAAATGCTAAAAATCAATTGCCAACTAGAAGAGCTAGCTAGCAAAGCGAGACTTTATCTTCTAATTTTCGAATTTCGTCCTTTTTGCAATTAAGGTTCTGTGAAATTGTTCAAGTATGATCCATCTCGTTCACTTCTATCCTTCGTTCTATCATAGCAATCTCTCACTATCGGATAGAATAAAAGGTCCCGTAGCGTCTCTCATTTCCTCCTTAAAACTGCCGGAAACAAACGGTTACAGCGGAATAAACAAAAATCCATTTTCCTGCCTTCCTCTCGGACCGTCCAATTTATTTTTCATCAGGATGCAACTGCGATTCTCTTCAAATCCAAACGTCCACCGTCGTTCCACCGTTCCTTTTTTTCGCAACAGCAGCAGCAACAACAACAACAAAGAAGACGTCCATTATCGAAGGAACTTATCTTGATCTCCTCTTCTCTCCTGTTCCCCGACGTCCAACTCACAGTTCGAAATCCAAAGAAACGAAACAGTGAATCAACCGGTGGTTGGCGAAGCCGTAAACAAAGTGGAACACATACGAAGAAGTGAACGGCACCGGCATGGTTCGTTTTTCACAAAATTCTCCGGGTGATTTTTTCGCAAGCGGCGAGGCAGCCGCGTGACGTTGATACGCGAGGAAAGAAGCGATCGCGAGGTCGACTGGCAGGAGTTTCTCCGGTTCTTCGAGTTTCTTTCGTGCACGCGCGAGTCGCGAGCGGGAATGCTACATGCCTGGCGAAAGAAGCGGATTTTCCACGCGAGCGGAACTCCGATCTACGCTCCGAGCCTTCTTAGACGCACTGAAAGGACTCAAACTTTCCATTGAGTGAACGTCTGGTTCCGCCGTTCTGACTTCACTTCCGGTATCGTCCCACCACTACGAATGAGAAATTATTATAGACGCGCCGGTGGGAGAGAAAGATCGTACGAGAAAGAGGTGCCCGCGGTGGAACAGGGACGAAATACAGGGAGGCATAGTAAGAAAGAGAACCGCAGAGAGGGGGTGGAGGGTGTGGGGGCGAGAGAGAGAGAGAGAGAGAGAGAGAGAGAGAGGGGAAAGGGAGGGAATCGAGAGAGGGAAAGAAGAGGGACAGACTGTTGGGATAATTTATTCCGCGTTCATACGCAGACGGGCTCCGTGGCGCGCGTCGGACGAATATCAAGCTACTCGTTGGTACTGCCACTGGCTGCTTGATCACTCGATCTTCGATAGTTCTTGGCGATTGTCGCGACGCTTCTCCTTTCATACACTTTCGTTTATTAGGCTTCTGGCGACGCGTTTTGTACAGGGGCCACGGACTACGGCCCCCTTTTTACGGCCGCAACATTCTTGTCGTTTTTACGGTTATTCTATTCGAAACGGTCATCGGGAGCCTGTCCTTCGTTAAACGCTAGGCGTAACGCGGTAATTTCCCCGTGATTTTACCACCTGGAACACGATGCTCTCGCGTAACATGTGCGACACTGTCGAGAGCTTTTGTTTTTTCGCTGATTAACTTCAGCCTTGTCATCTTTACGGTCACCTTTTGGACGTGTTACAAGAGGATTGGCTGCTGCTCGATCGCGGTAACGCGTTCGTCAAATTTATTTCGTTTTTTGGTTTCAACAGTATTGCACCTTCGACGATAACGCTCTTCGTTAAGTGAGTTGTAATAAAGCGTTGAAGTTCAGATTTGTAGTTGAATGGTTAGCGATTTACTTTTTGTTTGTGTAAACAACGTTTGAAAAGAGAGAACAAGTAATTGTAAATCTGAAGGCGAAATGTTGTAAAATGAATCTAATATCCACCTTGATTTTTACATTAAATTTTCGCGACGAATTGTTTTATATATTCTAAGCATTGCAAGTTTATTAAAATTGTTGCGAATATCGTATGAACTTTTTAACGTTTTAAATAAAGTTTATTCTGTTAAAAATCTTACACTTACTTTTTCGTCTCAGTTGCTTCTATGCTATCTAATCAGCAATTACGTATTAATTTTACATGAATTTGAACAAGTTTCAATCTTGCGAATTCTTCCATACAACAATTATTTTTGTTGTTTTCTAAAAATAATAAATACGTGTATTACACACGTACCTAATCAATATCTAAAAGTTGTACCGAATTTAAGGGGCCTTTCGTTTCTAGACGGCCGAAAAATATAATACCTGCTTTGGGGAATTATTTGTAAGAAAACTGTCGAAGCTACCGAAATGAAACTCGGAACGATTATTATTCGTATCTTGTACTGTGCGTTTAAAATTTTCTGGTGGTAAAATACGGTGTAGCTTTTCTGTGACATGTACCGGAAGTAACCGTTGCACGAAAAAAAAGGATTTTCAGTGTGCAAGAAGAGCCGATCGTGTAATAGTTGAGGTCAGACATCCTCCATTCTGGTTGAAGAATACTAAGGAATAACAAAAGTCGTAGTTGGAATTTTTCCCAAAATTCGTTGTTTTTGGAGCCCTTAAAGGGTAAAATTTGGAATATTACGATTACAGAGGATGATACGCCCTGCCTACCTACATATACGCTGAAGATGCGTGCAAAATTTCAGAAAAGTCTGTTGCATAGTTTCTAAGAAATCTTTCACACGGTTTTGAAAAAGTAGTTTCGATAAAAACGTGTTTAAAGTTTGCAGAATGATTATTCGTAATACCTGCGATGAAATCTTGTTGGGGTCCTAGTTACGAATTCTAGAGGCATTCAAAAATAAAGCTCATCTTTTACGATTCTGATGGATTGTCACAAATGCCGTCACTCCGTCAAGCTCAACGCTGTTCGTCACGCTCCTAGGGGTGCGCGAGATCCTGAAAAATCGGAATTCCCGAGAATTTCGAGAACCCGGACGACATTTCGGAACTAGTTTTGTTTAATACAACCATGATTTAGGATATTTTATTTTTGAGGCTGTTTCTAATCCTGTAGTATAAAGCAACGAAAGAATGAGAGTTGTGATATAAGGTGAAAATAATGCACCAAAGTGGTAAGTATGATATATTATTCCAAATTAGCATGTAAAAATGCGAAATTTTCGACATTTTCCGATAGTAGTAACACGCGACCTAAACTAGTCCTGAAACGTGCTTTGAGTTCTCGAAATTCTCGGGAATCCCGATACACTTTCGATTTCTGAAATTACTTCGGAACCTGTTCCGATCCAGAAAATATTCTCGACCCAACATTTTCGAGATCTCGCACACCCCTATCCTCCGCATACTTTCTTCAAGAATCTTCAAAACTGATCGAAAGCCTCCGTTGAAGATGGCTGCTGCTATATGAGCGACAATTAAGACTTTCGTTACTATTCTGGATGTGACCGCCCGAGCACCTTTCCAAGAGATCATTGTTTGAAAGGGCTTCGTAAATTAGCTTTATTGCACTTTGTACACATTCGTGCAGAGGCAATTTGCGGTTGTAAGTATCTAAGGTACCATTAGCTTCAGAATGGCGGCAGGTGCACCAATTTGATGAACCTTCGGGGCAATAATCACGCTACGATGAAATGTAGCCCAAATGGCTTTTTTCACGTTCTCGACGGAGTCAGTGTGTCTTCTTATCGCCAATCCGTAATATGTAGTCAACTCTGTAGTTCATGCGTTTGTCAGCTTTCGTCTTCCTCCGATTACTTTATAATTTCTCCTTACATTTCTCAAACGACTACTCATCCGTTTTTGCACGTGTCCAAGCCATCTATCAGTAGTTTTCTTAAAACAAATGTCTTTTTTGTACGCTTTGCAAACCACCATACCACTGTTGCGTGGACCAAAACCCTTTTCTAATCTTCCGCACAACTTTCTCTTTTCCAACTTCTTCAGATTTTCAGTTCCCGTTCCTTTGCTTATCCAAGAGTCTTTAACCCTTTCGTTACCGTTGGCGCCTATAGGCGTTTTGAAAATTCGCGAAAATTCACTTCTACCTAAACTCAGTACTTAATTTTATTCTATACGCATTTCCACCTTAATTTAATGAACCGAATTTTAAAACGATACGGCCAAAGTAACAATTTTGCAGCCGTGCACCAGCTATCCATGTTACGCTTTAAAATCTGCCGTAGCGAAAGGGTTAAGTTCGTCCTTGAGTAGCTTAGGAAGCACACATGTGACATCCAGGTTTGGACGAGGGCGAACGAATTTTCCATTCCCACCACTTTCTCTGCCTCTACCTTTATCTATCTCTACTTCTGCGCTTTCACACGATAGTCCGTTTTTCTATCACCGTCACAGAATTGGCGTCGCATCGTTGCTCGATCGCTGTACGATAATTTAAGTATTAAGTCAAGCTGAAATTGTTACTCTTGCGTCTCGCGCCTTTGTATTCCTTGACACGTGTGTTTAAATAAATTGAGGTGACGATAAAGGGACAGCATTTCCTCATCCAGCTCACCATTAAATCCGGAAAAGACGCTGCAAAAAGTAATTACGCGACAGTAATGTGCCGTATTCAAGGAAACGCGTTCAAAATTCGATGTCGACACTTTTTGCGTGGAATTACTTGCGCATGATGCATCCTGCTCCACGGTGAACTGATTATTAACAAATCTCTTTTTATATGGTAGAGACACAGGATGTCTGGATGACACTTTACTAGCTTTCACTTTAGACATTTTGAAATACTTCTAACTACATACTGTGGTCTCAGAGTCGAGTATTACTGAACTGATATCAAGCCTGGATGTTTGTTAGCTTCCGAAAAAATCGACGAGTAAAACGTATACTTCAATAATACAGAAAACAGTCGTAAACGAAATCAGCTTATCGGATATTTACGATATACACTACCGGCCAAAAGTTTCGAATCACTATGTAAATTA